ATGTAGCAGTATCCCTATAGTACGCTCTTTTAAGGTCTTTAGGGAATAGTCTGAGAAGGGGAATCTGGGTCAAATGGTGGTTCCATTCCCAGCTTTCCAAGGAATCTCCATACTGCTTTCCAAATTGGCCACACCAATTTGCAGTCCCACCAGCAATGTACAAGTGTGGGGTACACATTATTTCAGCAGAAATTATTTTAGGTATTTTTAAAATATAGAAGTGGGGATTATATTAGCATTCTCTTATGTAGTCTGCTCTTTCAAGTATATTATCACTTTCCATGTTAACAAATGTCTACAATAGTCTATAAGATTGCATAGGAGTCCATTGATTGGATGGACTGGATAATTGATTTGATCTTCTGTTAGAGTTCATTTAGGGTAAATATTAGGGTATCTTTTGTTTATTATAAACAAAAATATGTTGACATTTAGTGATCTTGTGTTTGTGTGTATACACATATATAAATATATATACAAATTTATATATATAAATTTTTAGTAGAATTCTTGGAATAAGAATATGCATATTTTAAAATCTTTTGGCATGTCTAAATTGTCATCTAGGAAAATAGTGCCTGTTTAGAATTTTCGTATGTACTAAGTGAAAGAGACTGTTTATCTGCACTGTGGCAGCACTGGGCAGTAAGYAGTTTTAGTTTTTTGTTAGCATTCTTTTCCAGTWCATTCCTTCAAAAATTGAATGCCAGAGTGTTCTAGGTGCTGAACACAGATCACTAAACCATACAGACATGTATGCTTGTTTTACATTCAAGTTCTAATGTTTTGTGGAATAAACGCTAAAACTTGAGGTGTAATTTGAAATATTTTTAATAGGTGAATTTAGACCTTGTGTGTTTGTGGATTTTTATAGAATATAAATAAATTTGGGGGCTGGGGTYSTGGCTCAGTGGTAAAGTGCTTGCCTAGCATGTGGGAGGTGCTGGGTTTGATTCTCAGCACTGCATATAAAGAAATAAAATCAAAGTCCATTACCATTAAAAAAAATTTTACTCTGGGTTTGCATTTTTATACTGTTTTAAAAACTTTATAGTTGCAACTTTTAGTTTTCCCCTTTGCTATATGATTGTCTTTTATCAGAACGTGGTTGTTAAACTTTGTATGTTTAGTTTTTAGTTATATTTTCTAACATTTTAAATTTTAATACTTTGTCCCATTTCTATATAAAAACAATATAACCTTGGATTCTTACGTATTCTTAGTCAAGAAATTCTCTGTAGTTTTTTTCCTATTATTTATTAATTCTCTTTAATAAATAATTAAGACTTCCATCCTCTGGGGTCTTTCAATCACCCTAGTTATTTGGATTTATCAGCAATTGCTCACTAGGTATTAGCATTTTATTTAACTCTGTAACTTAGTCTTGGTGTTAATAGTTTTTTCCAACTACAATTTATGTCAATCCTGACTTTCTGTTCCTATGAACACCAACCATGGGGCTACTTTCTCTATTCAGAGATTAGATTATGTACAAGAGAGAATTTCACCTCATCTTGGATTAGGCAGAGATCATGTTTCTCCTTAGCATGTGAAATGGATCCTTCCAAAATAAGTATACTGAGTAAGAATCCAAACCTGAAATGAGTGGATAATTTAAAACTGGAAAGAAAATTTGAGCTAGGGTAGTGATGGTTGTCTGGTTGTCTACATAATGTTACATCGAAGCATTCTTTCTCTYATCCCTTTGTAATTCTGTTTCTGAGGCAGTTAGTTGAGTAAGGACTTTTCTGAAACTTTCACTCAAGATTGTGAAGATATGRTAATCTTGGATTATTTTCTCTCAAGTGTCGGCATCATATCTCTAAGCCATTGTTTGAGAAAACTTAATGCTAACCTGACTAAATGTCCTTGAAAGTTAATATTTTTGAAAAAAATGCACATGTTACCAACATATGTTCCCTGGTTATGGTACTAATTCTTCAGAATTTTGGTAGGAATATAGTCGTTTATCCATTTTTATAATATCAGCCATTTATTTGCTAATTTCTGGGTTTTATTTTGTGCTTAGACAATCATCCATTCTGTATTCTAATTTTTTCTTAATTTGAACCCACATTAAATTTTTATTTTTTAACTGATAAAAATAATTACACATGTTGATGTGATTTTTCATTTAYGCATACATTGTATAATRTTTAATTCAGGTTAAACATGTCTGTCTCCCTACACGTTTTTCATTGTTTTCATGGTGGAAACGTTCAATTTCTTTCTTGCTTTTTGAGATATACTGTACATAATTGTTATCCAATAGTTACTCTACCATGCTATGTTGCACCAGAGAGTCTCACTCATGTTTAATGGTAACTTGGTATCCATTGAAAACCTTTCCCCATCCATCTCTCCTCCTTATCTACCACTTTCCCCCTATCCCCGCCACCTCTAATATCCTCTGTTCTACTCTGAAGTTCCAGAGAATAATTTTTTCTTTTATTTGTGCATAATAGTTGTGTTCATTTGGACCAAATCATACATGAATGTAATTTGATTTACTCCATTTCAGTCCCCAATGCCCCCCATCATCCYTTCCTTYCTCCCTTCTATTCTCCTTACTCTTATTGGTCTCCTTTCACTCATTTATTTATTTTTGATTGGTGCTTTATAGATACACATAAAGGAATTCACTGTGGTATATTTATACATGCACATAGTGTGATTTTGTTAAGTTTATTCCACATTTCCTCCCTTTCCAGCTCCTACTTCACTGTCTTCACTACATTTTTATGATATCTCACCACCATCCCTTTTCTCATTTTACTCTAGCTTTTGCATATGACAACAAGTATTCGAACCTTGATTTTCTGAGTTAGGCTTATTTCACTTAGCATGATGTTTTGAATTCCATCCCCTTTACCAACCAATGTTATAATTTCATTCTCTATGGCTGGATAAAATGCCATTGCATGTATACACACACACACACACACACACACACACACACACATACACACATACACACATATATGTATATATCACATCCACTCATCTATTGATAGCATTTGGGATGGTTCCATAATTTGGCTATTGTGAATTATGCTGCTATGAACACTGATGTGGCTATATCATTATAGTATGCTGATTTTATTTCTTTTGGATAAATATAAAGGAGTAGGAAAATGGTCTTCTTGKTTTTTTGCCCTTCTTTCTGGAGTGGGGTGATAGCTCATTGTTTTGATTTGCATTTTCCTAAAGACTAGTGTTGAACAGTTTTACATATACCTGTGACTCATTTGTATGTCTCATTTGTATTTGAATAATGTCTTTTTTCCTATTGTTTTTTTCTGTTGTTTTTGTTTAGTTCCATGTATTACTGGATGTTGACCTCTTGTTTGCAAATATTTTCTCCCATTTCATAAGCCTTCTCTTCACTCTAATGGTTATTTTACTGTGCAGAGCTTTTTTKGGGGGGAATACTTTGGCTCATTAGAGAAATGGAATGGGAAAACATGAGTCAAGCATATATAATATGCCATTGAATAGATAAACCATTTAAGCAAAGGGGGAAAAGAAATGAAGTCCATTTAAGGTGAATTTTAGGT